CAGTTCACTATGAACCTTGTCGGTGTTCCTTTACTTCACAGAGCAGATTTCAGTTCCGCAGGGAATCCTTCATTATGTTCCCTTATGTTCAGCACTGTTCATAAATGTTCAATCAAAGGGTTAAAAGTGGAATACAGTTCTAGTCAGACCTAAGCCCTTTGATGGAGTGGAGTGTGAGTATGAAAGAGTAAAGTACTTCAGACCAAGGGAAACAGGTCAGAAGGAAAGACAGACAATTCACTCAAATCACAGAATGAATTTCTCATTCTTATGAGGCACTATAAGTTAATGAAGTCAAGTTCCAACTCCTGGGATGGAGCTAAATGCCAGTTTCAACAGAAGCACTCAATGCCTCACTTTTGTTTCTACGCAGAAGGGGAAAAACTACTCAGACCACCCTAAACCAAAGAGATGGTTTTTGTTAGCTTACATTCAGCCAGTTTTTGGTTTATTAAGCCATTTTCCCCTGCAGTCCTCGTCATGCCTGCCTGTGAAAACAGCACAACACCTTGCAGGGTATCTGCAGCCTTGACAGAGTGAAACCAACTGAGGACACGACTCCCAGGAAAGTCAATTTCACCTAATGCTGTCAATTATGCAAATAAGCCGTCAGCAAAAGGGCACTGATGGCTCTCCGCCTCACCTAAAAGGGCCCATGCTGCAAAACTGACATTTCCTCTATTAAAGCAGCGTTTCAGCCCTGCAGCCTGAACTCGTCAGATGTCAGGGGCTCAGCTCAGCTACAACTGGACCTGGGCTGTACTGGGATGGGAGACTTCCAAGGAAAACCAGGTCAACCTGGATGAAGATGTCAGCTGTATTTTTCCACTTTATTCATTTATTTTAACTGCACCCCACTTCCTAACCTCCTATTTGTTATTCTTTATGTGCAGTACCGGCCAGCCCCCAATCTGATGGTTTTTATTCACAAATCACAAAAGCTTCCACAGAACTGCTTTTTCGTAACAAAACTGTACTGGGGCATATTGTTAACTGGTGCACATGATCTAGCTGACCAGACAGCTGTTTAGAGTAGCCTGACAAAATGCTTTGGCAAAATGATTGAATTAGGACAAATTCAACCTAAAACCATTCTCTAGCCCTTGCTTTACCAGCAAGCAACAGATAAGATGGTGCACATTGGTCCCTCAATCTGTTACCTTCTCCTGGATTCCAGCATACCAGCTTGTCTCCAGTGCTATTCTGGTTTGTGACTAGTGTAGGCTTCACACAAAGACTCTCTGCTTTTCACTTTGCTCTCACTTTCAAAGACCAGTGACTCACGATATACAGAAGTAGCTCTTTGTGTGCGTGTAGGCTGCTTGCTCATGTCTTAGGGATGTTAGCACTCAACTCTTTAGCATTTTGTCTTATTCTAGCCTGCAATTTATTCTACATTTTCAGTTGCCTGTTAGCTTTATAAAAGCCTATGGTAGGATAAAACAATATAAAATGCCAATTTATCTCTTTTTCTTCTTTCAGCCTCGCCTTCCTATTTCCATAAAGTGCCTCTCAGACTCTTAGTGAATGCTGAGATACAGCAGTAGTCAAAGTCAAAGTGCCACAAGACACCTTAAGGGCTTTTTTCACATGCTTGCTAAAATATGCAAAACTCAATGCTCAGGTCTCTGGGTGTCCCCTCTTAGACTGTCTCTCATTTTGCAGTGGCTGTTCCATCATTGCACACTTTGCCTTTGTGCATTCTAGAATTCCCACTGCTCTGGTTCTACAGGAAAAATGGACTTAATCACTGCATTATTTGAAAATGGTTAAACAAATCCAAGTCCTGGAATCAGTTTACATAGTCTTCAAGCTACTGTCAGAGGACCTTTGAAATAATCACCATTGAATGGATTTCTCTTGTAACCCCACTGCTTCACAAGTTTTTTTTTATATCTAGTCCTCCACCACTGTACTTCTTAACAGTCGATGTTTCTTAGGAATTACCAAACGTAATTTACTTCGAATAAGCAAGATAAAGACCAATTTCAAATCAGCCCTCAAAAAACACATTGAGCGCAAATACTGCCCCCAACTCATTCTTCCATCTGAAAAATGAAATGGAATTCTTAGTTACAGTTATGGAGTTAATGTTAGAATGACTGGAGGTCTGGTTTGTCAAGTGATGACACTGCTATGCAAACACTCTGAGGACCAGATAACCCCTGTCAAGGTAACTTAAGGCTTAAATATGTTGCACATATTTATTTAACATTCCAATTCTATTGCACAATGTGTCACCTTAACAGCACTGGGAATCATCAAAAGAGGGAACAAATCTAGTAAGAATTCCATTATCAAACAAAACAAACTGGTTTGAAAGGCAACTGGCAAAGAAAGTTCATCAAAATAGTGGGATACACTTCATCCGTTTCAGTGTCAACAAAGGGGTTTCTAAACTCATTATCAACCCAAACTCAATTGAATGGGGTGAAAAGGAGACTGAAAGGTTAAGGAAACATCTCACACCAGCAAATGTTAAATTGTTTAATCTGGAAACACTAACCGTATGACGTAACTAACCACACTATGGTTGTGTTTGCAAAATAACAACTTATTGATCTGAAAAGGTCATGTTTACAGATAATGCAAGTGTTTTCTACTCTTCATGCTAGCCAAGTGAATGGACAGTGCGCGTCTTCTCATAAAGACCAATTTTTCATTTTAACTTAAAAATCAATTCAATTGAGTTAATATTTCATAGGTTTAGAATAGTAGAATAAAAATAATAGCAGCTTTAAAGGAAGGCTATTGGTGATTTGTGTATGTGGACTGTGGTGGTGGTGGGACAGTCTTGGGGAGAAAGACAGGCACGTGGGATTATACAAAGTCCTGTATGGTGAAAACCAACAGCATTATTACATTTAAGGATTCTAAGAAACACTGTTTCACTTATAAACAAGCTCAACAAGTTCACTTAGGGAAAAAAAAATAGAGAAAAAAACAAACAAGCTTTCTACAGTTTGACAAAAAAAAGTGCTTAATTGGGCAATTTCTCCCCACTAAGAGTCTGCGGCTGCAGCAACTTGAGTTGCTACGGCAACCTTTTAAATGTACTTTAATTCAGCTCTAACGAATCTCTTTTCTTTTTTTTATAATTAACAGAGGACAACATTTACATACAAAAGCAAATGAAAAAGTTCTGCAATTTCCTCACATACAACAGTAGATGAAAACAGACAGGATTTCAAAGAAACCTACAGGATGCATGCTACTCTTAAGCGTCTTTTATATACGGCCTGGGACGATCACTCGGGGTGTCTTTAGAGAATTGCATCCTCCTCCTTCACAAAGCCAGCCCTAATTTAGGCAAATAAAGGGGATCCTTCAGAGACTAAATCTCAATCAGCTCCTTGTCTCAAAGGCCCGATATGATCATCCCACAGAGAACCAGCCATAACGTCACCATAGTTCAGTTCAAATCAAAACTGTAGGCTCTTTCATAGCAACTTTACAAGGACGCACAATTGAGCTATTGAAGCAAAACTAACATTTAGCTCCAATCGTGCCATTTTACAAAAATACAACTGCTGGATGTCTCATACCGTCAGAAAACACGAAAACAGGTAACAGACAGTCATGATCTTTGTATAACAATAATCAAGAATACAGAATACAAGAAACCAAAGACTGAATTTGTCATTCGAAAAGAGTGTGTGGGGAGGGGGAGGGTGGATGGGTAGCAGATCATTGTCATACATGATATATTGTATAATAATGGTAACAAACTGTCTGAACATGGTTTCACAAAGGAAATCGTCCAACTCCTCAAACAAATCTCTCTTGTATTTTTCTTCTATTTAAGAGGTTGTCTTCTCCTTTGAAATGATCATTACTAATCTGCAATCATAAGCTAACGAAGTAATTACCAACAGACTCTGTGGCATTAAAACTAAAAAGCAATAGGTCTAGATATATTCTGAATAATGTTTTCAGCCTTGCAAAAATGAACTTGTCACAATGCTTAGGACTATGATGTTGACTTAAATGATTTTAGAATATGTTAACTCATCACATTTATGAATCTGATTATTTTAGTAATATATAATAGTATACAATTCTTGTAGGTTTTGACTATGAAGAATTTTAGAAGAATTTTAATTTGGAATTTCCATCAAAAGGAATTAAAAAAGAACTGTAACAGTCTTTGTTCTCCAGTTACCTTTCTTTGAAATTAACTTTTAAACTGTAAAACAAGTAGTATTTGTCGGCAAAACTGTCTGGAAGTCAAGAGCAATATTTTTATTGGATTTAAAGAGATGTATTCAGAATCCTGTTTGTTTACAATATAATGGGGCCGCTTCTCTTCACCAGACGTTTTGTTGTCTAGTTCTGAATCACAGAAAATATGGCCTGCACATACCTGTAATGTAAACAAAGTTTTACATGTTACATTGTACTTTCATTGTGGCTTCAAATGTACTCATCAATACCGATTCTTTCTAAATCCAAAATAAAAAAAGCGTTGCAGTTCTTCCCTTTAAATGAGACCAATAGCAACAACAACATGTTGGAATAAGAATATAAGAACAGCTACACAAGACAGGCGACCATTTGGTACCTGGTTAGCAGCTAATCCAAGAATTTTGTCCAGCTGTTTCTCGAAAAAGCCAGTGCATCGGCTTCAACAACATGGCTGGGAGCTTTGCCCTACTCTCCCACAAACCTAGGCACCCAATACACTGACAACAAAACAGATACAGTACACATAATGTTTAAAAGCTCAACTCTTGTTAAACTGTTGTACAAACCATTTTTGACATATTGTTCCTTTTTAAAGAAAATGTACTGAGACTTCTGAGGGGTCAAAACCTTAAATTCTAATTTGAATTCATTGCATTTGTTTGCGTACGTGTTGAAAAAATTAGCTTTTTCTACAGTAATGCTCTTATATGACCATTTAGATTAATTTAAAGCTTAAAATGTTCAAAAACATCTTTACAACGGAAGTGATGGCTATTTAGTGCAGACTTTTAATTGACTTCTCTCTTTACCCACAGGCCCAAGCCAACCACCTGCAGCCAGGACGTCCGAGTGCAGTAATACACAGGATCTTATTTTTGAATGTTCTGGTCAGCACTAAGCAGGGACACAGGACTGCAAACCGTTCTGGCTCGCTCCTCCGGCTCCACAGAGGGATGAGCGCAGGCAGAATCAACCGCTACAGCATAGTGTCCTCAGAAGAAGACGGGCTGAGGTTGGCCACCATGCCAGGGGTCAACGGCTTCGGCAACGGCAAAATCCACACCCGGCGGAAGTGCCGCAACCGCTTCGTGAAGAAGAACGGCCAGTGCAACGTGCAGTTCGCCAACATGGACGACAAGTCCCAGCGCTACATCGCCGACATCTTCACCACCTGCGTCGACATCCGCTGGCGGTACATGCTGCTGATCTTTTCCTTGGCCTTCCTGGTTTCCTGGCTGGCCTTCGGCCTGGCGTTCTGGCTCATTGCGCTCATCCACGGAGACCTGGAAAACCCCACAGGGGACGAAAACTTCAAGCCGTGCGTACTGCAGGTCAACGGTTTCGTCGCCGCCTTCCTCTTCTCCATCGAGACACAGACCACTATTGGCTATGGGTTTCGCTGCGTCACTGAGGAATGTCCTATTGCGGTGTTCTTGGTGGTGTTTCAGTCTATCGTAGGGTGTATTATCGACTCTTTCATGATAGGTGCAATAATGGCGAAAATGGCACGGCCCAAGAAAAGAGCCCAGACCTTACTCTTTAGTCACAATGCTGTAATAGCCATGAGGGATGGCAAGCTGTGTCTCATGTGGCGAGTTGGGAATCTCCGAAGGAGCCACATCGTGGAAGCTCACGTCAGGGCTCAGTTAATTAAGCCACGGATCACAGAGGAAGGGGAGTACATACCACTAGACCAAATAGATATCAACGTTGGCTTTGACAAAGGGTTAGACCGGATTTTCTTGGTTTCTCCCATAACAATCCTTCATGAAATCGACGAAGAAAGTCCCCTTTTTGGCATCAGCAAGCAAGATCTGGAAACGGCCGACTTTGAAATTGTTGTCATACTTGAAGGGATGGTGGAGGCCACTGCCATGACCACCCAGGCGCGGAGCTCGTACCTGGCTGCGGAGATTCTCTGGGGCCACCGGTTTGAGCCTGTCCTGTTCGAGGAGAAAAACCAGTACAAAGTAGACTACTCCCACTTTCATAAAACTTATGAGGTGCCGTCAACTCCTCGCTGCAGTGCCAAGGACATGGTGGAGAACAAATTCCTGGTTCCCAGTACCAACTCCTTCTGTTACGAGAACGAACTTGCTTTTATGAGCAGGGATGAAGAGGAGGACGAAGACAGCAGGGTGTTGGATGACCTGAGTCCAGACAGCCGACATGACTTTGACAGACTACAAGCCACCATAGCACTGGATCAGAGGTCATACCGTAGGGAATCTGAGATATGACCTCTGATCCTTGACCTTTTGTCTGCTTTTGGGTTTGTTTTCATGAATAAATGCAGAACAATGCAAGTGCCATAGGAAAACTTAACTACTGTAATAGCGTTGCAAGGTCAAGAGAGACAAGCAACAGCAGAAAGCTGGGTGGGGTCTCTGGTAACCCTAGAAGTATAAGCAGAAATGTTGAGGCAAATGAGATCAACAAATGTTGAGGCAAGAAACAAAATAAGGCATCCTGAAAATATAATCAGGACTGTCTGAAACACAGAAAATGGTTAGAGAAAGGCCCTTTCTCTTCATAAAAACTTGAATATTTTCTTTTTACATACAGTAGATGGAGCTGAAAGCTTTAATTGATACATTACAAACAATAGGTGATAAAGAAAGAAACCATTTCACATTAAGGTGTAAATAGATTGCAAAATTATGTTACAATTAGTGCAGACATTGATTTATCAATGGGTATAGGAAAAACTGCAAGCTTTTTCTGCCTGCTCTTTGTTTTGTTAAGAGTGAAAACAGTACTGCCAGACTGAAGACCTGTGTTGGGCCTATCCATGTGGAATAATTAGCTATTCATAACAGAATCCTTGATTTATTGCAGCGAATGTTCTGGGAATTGCACTACCAGTAGTATTAGCTACTGTACCAGCAGACAGATCACCGAAAAAACTTATGGATATTCGTCATCAAGCATACTTTACTGTATACTATGCTACCTTATGGGTGCACAGATAGAAACACTTCTAAATAACAAAATTGAAGGGGAGGCATGAAAGTGGGCCTGGCAAGCACAATCACATTAATCAAGGACTTCAAGCACTAAAATGTCATTTGCACTACAGTTTTAAGGAGAATAATTGCATATGTTGTTCTCTCAGAAGAACAACACGTTCCGTTTATTTTGAGTCCCCAAATGAAGAACATGAGCTGGGTGGTACCGGGTGCCTGTAAGAAGGACTCACTTGACTTCCCTTTCTTTTTATCAGGCAAAGAAAAACAAACATCTGTTCTCTGGAAGGTGGCACCATGAAATGGTTTGAGTGCTATAGGCCAAATGGTGCCTGAGCTCCATCAGTATGGTCGCTCAGACCCATTCAGGTCTTTCAATTAAGAGGAAGGGTTTTGTTAACAAGGATGCTTTTTAGTGAGACAAAATATTGAAAAAAAATCAAATCAATATTTAACTCTATCTCATGAAGGGGACAAAATTGTCCTAGAGGGCAAGCATCTTTGCAGGTTTTCTAGGTCTCTTCCAAGCACCAGCTCCTGAAGAGCTGGGAGGAGGTATTATATTTGTCTCATTAAGCTAATAATGAGACGATTTAGAGCTGTAATGGAATGAAAACCTGCGGACACATCACCCCACTTGAACCAGGGCTGCCCATCCCTGCCTAACCCCTTAAAAGAGCAAATAAATACCATATATGGAAGGAGACAAAGGGAGATTCCACTCATTCAATTCTTACAAATTAAAATGTCATCCATATACAGTATCTATGCACATGAATTTTCAAAGATTAGTTTCCAAGCTCTAAATAAAGTAACAAATATTTCGCTTAAGCTACACAGCATGTAACCAGATTTGTTCTGGCTAAAACAAATCACTACTTCTAAATAAATCAAAGAATAAACCTATCAATACAAATTCAATAACTTCTTAATACTATAAAGCAACTTGTACTAATGATCTAATGAATACAGAACGGAGAAATTACACAGAAGAGGTTCCAGGTTATCCTGAAAATAGACTGATTATAAAAGTGAAAGTACACAGGATTAATGCCTTTACAAGATTTTTTGTAATCAAAAGGACACGTACCTTCAGATAGCCACAACCAAAGACAAAATCATGACAAATGATGACATTTTGGACAAAATCATGAGAAATAAAACTAAAACTGGGGAATAATAATTTGAGGAAAAATAATTACAAAGCATAGCTGAGTTAAAGAAGGCAGGCCAGTGGCTAAGAAAAAGAAGTGACAATATCTATCAGCATGAAGGCTGTTTACATTTGCAGGCTCATAAAATCACTCTTCATCATCACATTAGTTAGTGGACAGAAAAACTTTGAAATCAGGCAGTTTTTTTCCCTAATCAGATCAGTGGGAGGTTAAAACCAAAGCTGAAGATGACATCAGATATTGTGGAGGACTTATGTACCGACGTGTGTCTTTTTTTCTTAAACCGACTAAAACTATGTTATTTTCAATTCAGTTCAGTGTGTGAACCAAAAGATTCGTCTTTGTATCTGCATCTTTTCACTTCACTTACCACACTTTGTGTACAACAAGAACTTAAATGAATACTTTCTGACCTTGCCAACAAACTATACCTGCTTTTATGTCCTTTCAAAATAAATAATTCTTTATCCCTCGTGATCACATTTAGTGACTAAGAAATGAACAGTAATTTGATAAAAGGTTAAAAAGCAGAACTAAATACAACTTTCCCAGCAGACTTAGTGTGGGTGTCCTGTTAGAAAAAGCAAGCAACACAAAGCAGGGCGATTTCTGTCACCAACGCTCAGAGACATTGAAATGAGGGATGGCATAGGAAATACCTAAAAAGATTATACACAGCTGTGTTGTTGTTTAACAAACTTTACAACTCCTATTTTTGTCACAAACTCTTGATTCAACGGCACTTTTGACAAAATCTGAGAATTTTGCTTCTGAATTTTGTTTCAGTTTTTGGAAGGACTTACTGTAGTTTCATAAACAAAAAATCACAGTTGAGACTGACAAAAATTGTGAGGATATAGGAGTTTTGAGTATGTACAGTAACAATGTAAGTTTGCAATGCAGAACATAAGAACTTGAATTTAGGTACAATTTTGCATTTAAGATTTACTCTGAATTTGCTTACAAAATGGACAAATCCAAAATTAAGAAACAACAACACAGGCCAAAGGTAACACCTTGCTTTATCTCAAATGTGTTTTATGTAGGTTTATGTTAACGCATACCCAAAGACACAGTTATGAGTGGTTTAGGTAATGCTACATTTATACCCTAGTTTGTGCTAGTGTTGAATCTATGTGAGAGCATGCATTGTATATTCAAAATATCTAAACTGGGGAACTCCAGAATCCAAGCTACATGGGATTCAGGGAACTAAGCCTGGCTAATCAAGAAAAAATGTTATACATAATGTACAGTCCAGCATATGGAGTGTGCTGTTATAAATTGTATAGATCATTTTGCCTACTGTATGTAAAACGCTATGAATAATCAATACTGTCAGGGAGCGATTTACGGTTCACCTCTACAGTTTCGCGAGATGTAGATCAAATTTCAAAAGCACTACACAGGGTAACCACCAAGTAAAAGTGTTGTCAAGAGGGGCTTCCTACTGTAAATGGAATAAGAAGGAGGAAAAATGGGAAATCCCAGAAGTTGTGAGGCGGAATTGAGGCATAGAGAATTCCTCTAATTTCTGTAACAATGGTAGACTTAAACAATACCGAATGCACTGTACTCCCCTCGGGAATCAGGATATTCTGATGCCCATAAACGAGAACAAAGTGAGATTTTGAGCCACTTTTTCCTTTCCAGACAGACATTAAATGAAAGCTTTAAATTATGTTGTCAAAGGGGGGAGTCTTATAGAACAGCCAAAACGCAATAGTATCACCAATAGTGCGAAACCCCTCATCTCTGGCTAGCGTTAACCACTATTCTTTTGTTCCGTTTTTTGATAAACGCTGCTAATTTGTGAAGCAATATCTTGGAAGAGGGTAGGGACAGACTGTTTGAGCAATAATGACTGGAATGCACTTAATCTCTTCTCTTCTATCATCAGCATCATCAAAGATAAAGGCATGGCTGTGTTTTTATCTGGTCAAAACAGATGAGAAAGTACGGTTTTGTAAATATGTACATTGCATTTCTTTGGTTACAACGCCTGTATAGCTTCTCCCTACAGTCACAGCTCCTCCAGACTGACGAGGCTCGGTCCACTGAGGAGATTTTCAATAAAAAGATTTTCTACTTGAAATTCCATACGACATGACATCAACCTAAATCTTTAGCCATATCTGCTTTATTTTTAAATACAAATCTTCCTCCTGTCTGCTACAAACACACGCTGGGATGCCACTGTGTGAAATATCCACATGTGGGGAAAAAAAGGCTGCACTGCATCACATGGTGTGGCCGTCTTGGAGAATTTCAACAGTGGCTGATGGCCAATGAGAGAAAATGTTCCATTTTTTTAAAAGAAAAGGCATAACCTCTCTTTACTGCTTTGGCCCAGAACAGTACGTGCAACATCCTTGTTCAGAAACTGTAGCGCTGCGCTAGATATTTTTGTTGAGCCTTTCTGCACTATTTTGGGCGGAAAAAAAAAAAGTGCTGGTCACCTTGATCTCAATGACAGTCAAAGCAATCCTTCATATGTAGTGCATGCAAGTGGATTTAAAGACACTCTTCTTTAACCCTTTATCGGTCCGTTCACCTGGGTAGTAAGCACTCTGGTTATTTCTTTTTGGAAATCAATGATGCACCCGTGCGTTTCATCGGTATTCATTCGAGATTAATTGCAGCTTGTGCAGGGAAACGCTTTCTGTACTCTGCCGTCCAAAAAGAACCTGCACCCGCTGGAGGAGAGGTGCAGTTCTCTCACCATCGCCAGCGAGAGCTCACCACCGCCCAGCCACCCACCGCACAAGGGGGCGCTGTTGAGTACGTGGCTGAGGACACCCCACCCGCACAGGGTGTGTGGTCGGGTGTGCGTGGCGCGGTCTCCGAGCACAAACGCCTGGCTTGTGGCGCTCGGTCAATCCTCCAAACATGGGCCTTTATGGATTGAGCCACACTGTGCCTCTTATTCCCCACATTTAAAACATGGAGACGCTATTAATAATCACAGGCTTAAGTGGACGTTAAAGAGCAGATACACTGCGTGTCCAAGAGTGAGCACCGCTGGAAGTAACAGGCAACAATTTAGCTGGTTTCAACGTGGCCCCAAAACAGCCCAAGCAGTGTACATTATCATCAGTGAGGCACACAATTAAATATGATGTAATGTGATGTAATTCTAGATGGCAGGAAAATATCCTTTACTTCCTGTGATCTATATATTGCAGCACATTTCAACCTAATTGAAATCATTCTTTTTGTTTTTGAAAGCTGTTGTTTGTTGTAACAAGCACAAACATTCATACATTGTATGAAAAGGTGACCATGATCTTTTTAAAAGTGCAGGAAATTCTTCCTTTTCACATTGAAAACCTTATTCACGTAGTTCTTACAGTATAGTGCACTTGCTTGTTTCCGGCCAGAGATTTGAATGAGCTGCTCTCATTTTGTGTTTAACATCACATTAGATTTTGATTCAACTTTGGCACTGATATGATACTCCTACCCTCTTCCTAATTATTCTTACTTCTCAAAGGAGATTTTTAAAGACATTGGTACTGTACAGATATAATGCCACATTGTAACCCTTCAAGATATTGAAAATACTGACCATTTTTCAGATTTTCTCACATACAGTACTGAGCTTCCAATTGTACCAGACAGGGACCCTTCTGACCCCTAAATGAATTTAATGACCCACACAAGATTGTCCAGGTACTTTATTGACCAGCTGGTTTTGAACAGGGTTTACTTTTAGAAATGGCAACAAGGCAGTGTGAATAGCCAAAATGTTAGAAGATCAAAACCTATAACTTTCATTTTTTCAAATGAAAACACCATCAGCAGTAAAAAAAAGCCTTAGCCTGGCTGTTCAAGCAAATGTCCCAAAAAGTCTTTAAAAAGCAGTCCTCTGAGTGCAGACCAGAACAAAGTGACCAAAAGACAGAATTAAGCTCGTGCAAAACTCTGATGCACAAATGTCGTTTTGGGAGTTGAGACATGAGCTAGATCAATTAAAATAGGCAAACGTGATCTCCTGCTACACCTGCCACTTACACATATGAAGGATAAATGGAAAATGCTCTGCAGACTGGTTTTCAAGGTGAAAGAAGCCTTTGCCCCCGTCCTAATATTTATGCTTTGCATTGCCTTCTGAGAAGGTATGGGTAACCTGTTGTGTGAAACCTTTGTATTTACCATAGGGTGTGATACCACTGGGATGTTAGTGGCCTGTCTCACAAGAGGTAACCATAGTAGTACATCATCAGCTTCTATGCTGCATCACAGGATTGCAAGTGTCACTTTGTCGTCGTTATGCTTTAAACAACCTTTAAGGTGGAATTATTACACAGATCCTATATAATTGCCTGTCTCAATGTAATCAGACATGCAGTTTAATGATTGTAAAAAAGAGAGACAATATAAATGACATCTGCTTATTCAAAGAAGTATTAAAAAATTGGAATATTTTGCCCTTTATTTCTCTTTAAGTGTAGAGATATTGTAAAACAATTCCTTTTGGACCTTAATAGAAGACCTCAAAGGTTGCATCCCTGATTTTTAATTTGTGTTTGGTTTTCAACAACTTCTGAGCACATTTTCTCAATCTCCAAAATTCGTAAAACAAAAAAAAAGGCTCAAGATGTGATTCTTGTCTCAGTTATTTGTAGTTTTATTTTGTTTCAGCACAGAAGCTTGTGATTAAAACTGGTATTTCTCTTAAAGGGATAATTGGATGACCTTTGACCTCTGTAGAAGTCTTCCTCTATGCCCAGATTATATACTGAAAAAAAAATTATACTGGGTTTTTTGTTTTATTTTAATGGATGATGAAAAGTTTATTAAATTATTAAATTAAATCTAATGATATAATACTGCCGTTTCATTTATTTCTTTCCCCTGTCTGTCTCGAGTTCCATCCAACCATCTTCCAACCAATTTAGGGTCGCAAGAGAATCAGTCTATCCCAGCAAGCAACAGGCACAAGAGAGGGGACGAAGGCCAGTCCATCATAGGTCACACGCACAGACATAGACAAACTCACACTAAGGACAATTTTCACAGAAGCCAGTTAACCTGCCAGTGTGTCTTTGGACCGGATTAAATGCTCCCAAGTAAACATACAAACACCATACAGACAGTGGCCCAGGACTTGAACCCAGGGCCCTAACAATGCTAACCCACATGCCACTTTCGTTGAGAATTGCTCATATTACGTCACCACGTGCCAAATGTAATCTCATGCACCCTT